TAATAATAAGCAATTTATTTTTGGTTAGAGACTCATTAACTATAGTTTATAAGTCTCTTGGATTAAGTGTCAGATTATAATTGTATGTTTAAATTCTCCAATTTTCTGGTTCGGGGCAACCGGTGCTCAAAATCACACAAATCAGGCACACGTAGCTCGCGGGCGACCGGTGTGGACATACGCCTGTCCACAGACCATGATTGCTCACCAATGGTCTCGATCTTACCCGAACTCATTAGTCTAAAGTGGTTACGGGGGTTATGCACCTCCACCTCAGTATCATCCAGCGATATCTCATCAAACTGATCTTGGTGATAATTGTAATCACCCTGACTATAAGGTGGGGCGGGACCCATACTATCCCTACCAGTGTAGGCCGGATTCAAAACTATGGGAACGGGATTATCGATGCGAAACACCTTTTCCTTTCCAAACTTGTTGAACAATTTGGTCCGTTCCCGGCACCGGCAGATCAGGCATGTTATCATCAGCAATAGCATGACTATCACTGAACCTCCAGTCGCTAATATCCAGGTATAATCATAATACGAGCAGTTACTCGGAACCCATACACACTTGTGGCCATTGGTTGAGTCCTCGTAATAGCCGGTTATTTGCGAACAAACACACTCTCCCTGACCATTGCACTCCCGGCCCAAGTCGTAGGGTTGGCTATAGTCCCGACAATCGGTGTCATTATTGCACCGAAAGTATTGACATTTTTTGGTTGAGTTGTCGTATCGGAAATTAACGGCACAAATGCACAGTCCGTTTACACACCGACGGTGACTGTCCTCATCACTTATACAGTCGTTATAGTTATGGCATGTAGGATATGATGTAGTGGTATTGGCCAGGGAGGTAGGAGTTGTTGTTATATTAGAGTTATTAGATGAACTTGGTGTTGTTGAAGTAGGCGTTACATAATTTATTGAGAATAGTATAAAACACAAAGTAATCATGGTCAAGTGTAGGATTAACATGGTTGTTTGGTTATGATAATAACTTTAGGATTAAGTAATTGAATAATAAATATGAAAATATTTTTGACTTCACAAGTAAATAATAAGTGTTAAATAGTATTAATTGTTTGCATTAGTGAATAGACAATAGACAGTGAATAGACTAGATTAGAGTTTACAGTGAAAATGTCATTAAAATTATATTTCATAAACACCTGTACTTATTGTCAAAACATTTTATAAAACGCATTTCAGAGTAGATATGGCCTGGGTTAATTAAATCTATTCAAAATTTTCTTTATTTAATTAGATTTATTGTTTAATACATTGATCTAGTTAATAAACTATTTGTTAAATAATTTTATAGTTTAATTATTATTTAAATATTATTATTTATAAATAATAGAAAGATTAATTGAGACAGTTTAATAAAACACCTTGGTTGCAAACTTTTAAAATAAATAATTGCTTTAAAAAGGTTTCATTGTTTATTGCATGGATACTATCATAAGTTATTGTTCCTTGGATACATTTAATGTAATAATTACATATTAATTGCAGTATTTTTCCGTTATTTTATTGTATTATGTTGAACTCAATTTTTGTTTTATAAAAAGTCTAAAATATTTTTTGTATTTTTTATTTTATTTTCCCAGTTAATATAATTAAATATTTACAAACTAATTTATAATTATGTTTAAATTTTATATTACCTGTAGTTTAAGTTAATATATTTATTTTATCAGGCTCGCATATGACTAAATACACACAATAATATTAAATACTGATTACTTAGGTATTAAATAAATTATAAAAAGTATTACAGTTTTTCTAAAACTACACACTAGTCTCACGTTTACCCAGTTTATCGTGAGCTATATTATCAATAAGGCGGACATTATCTAACCAAACGGCTGCTAACCGCCTGTCCCACCGGTCGCACACGTAATCCACTTTAAACCCCAAATCAGTTAACCTCTCAAAGGCGTCGTCTACTGTCAGGCTATCCCTTAAAATAACCGGTAGTTTAGCAGCTTTTACACGACTTTCCTCAGACAACCGATTATTTCTAGAGCTCAGGGCTAACCCATTGTCAGCCCTAATGGTAGGGCAGCCTACTATAGTGACCGGTAGAAATAGGGCCTTGGCCATTTTCTCAATCAACATCAACTGCTGGTAATCCTTTTCCCCATAATATGAATGTGTGGGTCGTATGACATTCAGGTGCTTCAACACAATGGTCAACATACCGGTGAAGTGTCCGGGCCTATGCTCACCCTCCAGGTGCGCCCCTATCTCGCCGGTCTCCAACACCTGTATCTGGTAGTTATCCGGGTACATGTCCTCGTACGTGGGTATGAACAGGTAGTCCACCTTTTGTTGGTGTAGTAGCTGTTTGTCCTGTTCGAGTGTGCGCGGGTAGTATCGGTAGTCATCCGGGTTATTGAATTGTGTCTGATTCACAAATATGGCCACAACTGTCACCTCATTGTCCTTTTGCGAGCGTTGACACAGACTAATATGACCAGGGTGCAGGTTGCCCATGGTGTGCACCAGGCCTATGCTTTTGTGGGCTAAGGTTTTGCGGATCTCTTGCCATTGGGAGCATTCAGTCACGATTATCATGGTTGTTTTTATTGCGTGTAATATTTTACTAGATAAATTACAAAGGGTTGATATCTTTAAATAATAACTTTTGAATCTTATCGAGATTAATTTCTACTTACAGTTTTTATGGTGTGTATGAATTTGGAAATGTAGTAAGATTAAATAATTTAGAAAGTTAATAATGCAAAAGGTGATTTATTTGTTAGAATAGTTATTTTTATAACAAACAATATTCACAATATTTGCGATATAAATACAATGTAAAACCTCCCAACGGTACCGGTGCTTGAATACATGTGCTAAGAAACAAACATCCTTATCATTGTATGCATGTGTCAAATCTTGGATAGTCTTGGAAACCCTTATCTTATCAAAAGTGTTGAATTGTTTGTGAAATTGTATTCAATACAGCGTTTTGTATTCAAGTTTAAGGTTTTATTTACTGTTTTGCGTTTCATTCAGTTTATACAACGAAATTAGGTTTTCATAAATTTCCTATAGTTTTAATCATAATTTTAAACTCCAAAATCAAAAATTATCTAAATTTTCTTTAATACTTGAAATGTAGTGCACATTAAAATTATAAATATTATATTTTAAAAATATTCATTTCGACTCAATTCATATATAAGAAAAATTGTCGAAATTATGAATCCAATGAACAAAGTGATGCAAGGACTTTTAAAGAATTCATCCAGGGTAATTACTGAGATGCGTTTGTGTCCACCAATTTTGAAATCCCCGAGAATTTTATGAAATTTCTTTCGATTAGTTATTGAATTAAGTACTATACGTGTGATTACATCCATGTGAATATCCAGACCAGTTTCGGTCACTTGCTTAAAACTGTAACAAAAGGTTTTTATTTAAAATAAAATATTTTGTATTAATTTAAAATCTTAATTTACCTAAACCTAAGTTTATGAGCAAGTTCATGATTGCGGCGTATTAAATAGCAGCTCATATCCTGATAATATTTATGCTTAGAGATAGTGAATAAACGTCTATAATCATGATACAAATCCCGATAAAGTTTACTCCAGTTACTATTTTCTAGTAAAACAACCTCATTGTTTACAATTTGCTTAAATATGCTGACACTAAATATATTAAGCTGATTGTTTCCTAAACTATATTTATTATTAAATATTTCGATCCGT